TATTAATATTAATAACAATAATAATAATTAATAGTAATAGTGGTAATAATAATTATTATAATAATAATAGTAAGAAAACTACCGGTAAATATTTCGATGAATTTAATGGCTGTTCCAAATGTGTGTGTGTGTGTGTGTGTGTATCATGCGCTCGCGCGCTCATGTGTGCATGTGCGTGCGCGTTGATACAAGCATCCAGTTTCAAGTTCTCCCTCACACTCTCGCTTTCTTTCTCTCTGTCTTTCGTGCTCTCTCTTTCTCACTCGCTCTCTTCCTCTCTTCCTCTCTACGCGCATTCATTTTATCGGTCGCCGTGTTACGTGGCTCAGAATATCTCGCACATTACACCGACCACGTCACTCGCTCGGCAATTAAATCACAGACAATGTGTATGATACGGTGATTAACAATAAATCGTCAACTAGCATTACCTATATATAATTCGGGATAAATAAAAGTTATTGTACAAATTAATATTATGCATTCAATTGTAACAAAAAAAAGACACTGTATTTTTGTTTCTTTTTTTTCTCCGGTAAAGACATGCGAATGTACAAGTATATGCACGGACACTGCGGTTTGTTTATTTCTTTACCTCATTCACCGCTCTCTTCGCTCGTTTTCTCAAACTCGCCGGTGTGTATATTTGTAGCTCGACTTTTAAGTCCTGCTCAATAAAATGTCTTCATAAAAGTTTCGTTTTGTTTTGTTTGCTTTTTCTTTTATTCTTTTTTGCTTCGATCATAGACAACTGTAAAAGAAGTAAACTTCTATTACTCTGACGTCCCACCTTCACCTCCTTTTTGGTTGCCCCGCAGACTCGCCGCAGCTGAAACATTATTGATCGATTTAAATACAATCATTTTTTGTTTCGTATAACGTTCAATATTAATGCAGAAAAGAGTAAATACCAGTAGACTACATAGCGTTTTCTTGGTGATTGTTTTGGAATAATAGAGTCTCTTCAAAGATATATTGTTTCAACACTTCTTTAGGAAGATCATCCAGTTCCATATCAAATTTAAATGGTTCTTCTGCGACCGGCTAAAAATTGGACATGTTATGAAATTGGCTTTGTTATATATCTATTGGTGTCCAATCGTAAAATATATATACTTCGTCAGCAGGATCGTAATATTGTTCTAAGTACGGATGCGCAAGTGCATCCTCCACAACAATACGTTTATTAGGATTAAATGTTAGCATTTTATCTAACAGATCCAAAGCTCGTAGATCCGCGTTTGGAAACAGACTTGTCCATGGAACCTTTGGTTTATATGGTAATGATTGGAGATAACTTCGTGCCTAAAATAACATTACACTATTATTTAAAAATATTGATATAATTTCACGGCGAAACGAAACATTATTGAATACAGAAAGATTATTGAACATAAATAAACAATGAGTACTTTTTCGTTTATAATGCACTCAAGATCCTCAGGGGATGGTGATCCAAGAACTCCCAGTATATGGTTCAGTTGATCTAAGTAATGTTTGCCAGGAAATATTGCTCTTCTGGAAAGCATTTCTGCAAGAATGCAACCAACTGACCAAATATCTATAGACTTAGTATAGCCCTGTAAAAGGGACAGTGAGATATAATACTGTGTTGTATTCTTTATAAAATGAAGTTGACTATTCTATTAATGATTTACCTTGGAATTAAGCATTATTTCTGGAGCTCTATACCACCTTGTTGCTACATATTCAGTAAGAAAACCAGCATGATTATGCTCTGGATCAGCAACTCTAGCTAAACCAAAATCACAGATTTTAAGGTCACATGTGGTATTTAATAGCAAGTTGCTTGGTTTCAAGTCTCTGTGCAAAACATTTGCAGAGTGAATGTACTTTAATCCTCTTAATATTTGGTAAAGAAAATAACATATGTGATCATTACTAATAGCCTAAAATTAAAACATGAGTTTTAAATATATCAATGTTTCTCTATATAGCTTTATTCATGATATTTATTATGCTGACCTGTGTTTTGAGTAATTTATAGAGATCAGTTTCCATTAGACATTGAACAATATATACATCTTTCATTTGTTCTATAGTAGGTGCCCTTAATATATCCCTTATATCTATTATCTATGAAAAGAATTATAATGACAATGAATTTTGATCAATTGTAATTAACCAACGAATAACAGATTACTTACATTTTCATGCTTAAACCTAGTCAAAATTTTTATTTCCCTTAATGTTCTTTGACTGTATGTCTGATGCTCAAAAGGTGAAATTTTTTTAATAGCTACCTTTGTTTTTGTTACATTATCATAAGCAGATCTGTAAGGATAAATGACAAAATGTTGAAAAGATTACTAAAAATTCCTAACTCTTTAAATTCAATTATTTTAATAATATCATCTATACAAAATGTAGCAAAACATCATTAATAAAGAATAGTAATACTATAACATATATATGTGATACTTGTGTCTCCTAATCTGAAACCACAATACAGGAAGTGGTCCTACAATATCAGAAGATATTCTTCTCTTCTAAATTAAACATATGTATATTTAAACATAATTTCCAATATCACTAAAATTACAAACTACATTTTCAAATAATAAAAATTAAATAATAGTTTTAAAAAATGATCATAATAAAATAGTTTAAAAAATATGGATTAATTTAGAATGATTTAAAAATGAACAAAAAAGATTTCAATAAAGTTCAGAAATTTTGCGTGTAAAAATTCGCCGTCTTTTTAAAGGTATTCATGGAATATAATCGCGATTTCGTTAACGGTACGATGATAAGACCGATAAGTGAGAGATAAGCGACGGGAACAAGGAAGTCGTAACATTAACACGCAAGTGGATAGAAGTTTGAAAGGGTGTGACAACCGTGTTTAAAACTGGCGCCAAAAGACGACGATACATAACGATGAATAGCACTTAGCAGCGATTACACTCGGTATCGGGCCGAAAGTAAAATCTTTCATACACATTATAGAGTAAAAATGACGTCGTGAAATCAGTAATTCATACAATGATTGTGGTTTTGATTGTTTATCTTTCGGCCTGTCAGCTAGTCAATACGCGGTCGAATGTTCTCAGAAATAACGAGAGAAATTGACTCGAAGACACTTACACGACCATTCCGTAGGCACCCTCGCCCATGTACGATAAATTCGTATATCGTGGACCAACTTCGAACGTTTGTCCACGAACGACCTCACAATTTGGATTCACACTTGCATTACCTTCACTCGCCATTTTGACAACTATTTTGCGGCTCCGGCAAAGTCAGAACAAGTCTTGCTTCTTAGCCGATTCGCCACGAATAATATCACAATTAGATAGACCTACGCGGAATTTTACGTTACTTATTACTTACTAGAAATTGGAAACGATCTTTTCGCCCCCTTTTTTCAATTTAATCGCTCAGATTCCAATATTGTCGAAGTATAAAATTCTTTAGAATATAAATATGTGAAAATGTTTAAAAATGATGACGTAATAGAAAATTTAGAATAGAATTTAATAATTTTTGTATAGCTTTGTTTGATTTCTGAACAAAAATTTGTATATCATTAATTTTCCTGTTTATGTCTTATTCGTGAATCGTTCTTATCAGACTAAACTTTGAAATATATTAAATAACATTAAGGAATGTAGAGGACGTTGTACTTACAATATAGTTAGAGTTTCGCATCTGAAATACTATGAACTACGACTTTAGTTTTCGCTTACAATCTGTCGTTATTGTGATATAGTAATTATTGATAATTAAATCTTCAGGAAAAGACATATTCGTTAAATTTTTTAACACTAACAATAATATTTAAATTACAACATGAATGCACCTCCAACCTTTGAATCATTTCTTCTGTATGAAGGAGAGAAAAAGTACGTACTACAAATTAATTAACCTATTTTGTACTTTTTGTTAAAATTAAAATGAATATAATATCCATTCTTTCATAGAATAATTAAAGAACAAGACACTAAAGTTCCCAATGCTGCGATTTTTACTGTTAATAAAGAAGATCATACCCTTGGAAATATGATCCGCAAGTATGTGCACTTTTGTCACTTATGAAAATATGTGTAATTTTTATAACACATATAAATAAATATTAATAATGGTCTCATTTATTATATAATAGTCAGCTGTTGAAGGATCCTCAAGTTTTATTTGCAGGATATAAAGTCCCACATCCATTAGAACATAAATTTGTAATTAGAATTCAGACCACATCAGACTACACACCACATGAAGCTTTTATGCATGCTATTACAGATCTTATAGCAGAACTTTCACTATTTGAAGAACGTTTTAAGGTAAAGAATAAATAAAACATATATTGTTATATATTTAAATTTGTTACATATCCATCCATTATATCACATATAAAATATTTTAGGAAGCTATTAAGGAAAAGAAGGAAGGGCTGGATTAAATCAGCTTTTTTTATGCATTAACTTTAGATGTTAAGAAATGTAAATAAAGTATTAATACATATGTATATCATGGATTGTATTACTAAGTGACCTGATTTATTTTAATAAGTAACTTGAAATTGTCTAAAACTTTATGTATGAATGAGTAAATAAACATATTAAAAAAAAATTATACCTAAATTTATTAATCTTTGAATCATATATATTTTCTTTATATAATTTTGTTTTGAATAAATTTATACAAAATACTGAAATCAGTCTCTTACAGTTTTATTTCTGTAACTACAAAGCTTAGTCCTAATGTATTAAATGTACATTTCAAGACAAGATTAATTCAATGAATGTATCAACCCTGTATTAAATCTTAAAGATAAAAGGCAAGACAATGGTAAGTCACAGTAGTACAATTCTGCTGAAACACATTTTGTTCAGAGATTGATGGCAAAAAATACACACAAAACAATAAATACTTACTTTTATCATATAGACAGTACAAATATCTTTTCAGAAAAAATGTACTACTAATCATTGTGATATAAGTTCTTAGAAATTATGTAAGAAATGCCTTGGACTAATCCTAATGGCTTGATTGTTGAGTTCAATTAAAGGAACTATTACTGAATGTGCGACGTTCTTCAGCACTAAATAAATTATTAAATACATTTACAGGTTGACATAAATAGCTATTATGTACATAATTACATTTGACTTTAAGTCTCGTATGGTATGCGTTTGACTGTTCAGTACGCAAATAAACTATGCTCCTGTTCTATAATACAATTCAGCAATGTATCATAAAATAACTTAGTTGTAATTCTGGTTCCTAATAGAACTGTTATATGGCTTTGTACTTCAAAAATCACGTGGAAGCTCAATAAATATACACATAAAAACATTTTGGTGAACATACATAGACTTTTAAACTATAAATTTAACATGAGGAGTACGAATATCATCGAATTAACGATGATTTTTGGATGGACACGCATATCCTTATGCAGGAAGACACGCACATAATTGTAGCATTAAATCGTTTCATATAAAACTATACTCTGAAAAAATTTCAACAGGTCTTTTCTTTTGTATCTAGGATCTTTGAAAAGCAGTGATTTAAGTCTACAAATGATAACATATCACTAAAACGTTTCAGCATCATCGCAATCAAGAGTGTCATGTCCAAACACTGCAAAACAATTAAAACAATTGTAAATGGAATTGGATAGAAATACAAAAAATATTAGATGGATTAGTATGGAATATTTAGGCAGTGTACTCAAGAAAAAAAATGTATTAGTTGATATTAAATATATGTTCAGTTTTTAGGATTTAAAAAATCTTTTAGAAGAGAACTTTAAACGTTTTCTTTTACTCCTAACAGAGAAAACATTATAAACGAATATAAAAAGAGTTATAATTCGCACAAATCTGAAGATTAAATTCTTACTTTCACAGTTTTTACAGTATGGTCTTTCTACCGGTACTTTTTTCGGAGTTTTTACGACCTTTTCCATATCTAAGAAGTCTTGAGCTTGTCGTGGACAATCTTCCGTTTCATGTAAATCAAATTGATCACAAATATCACAGAACATACGTGGCGCAGTCATTTTTTTACGTTTATCTAATGTGGATCTAGAATTGATTAATTAATATATTATAACCGTTACAACATATATTTACTAAAAAATTAAATGATACGAACTGAGTATACTCATCAGCTTCATTGGCAGGTATTCCCATTTCCAGAACTTCGACTTTACATAGTAAGGCTTCGTTTTTACGTTGCATATCCACTATTACGGAATTTAAAAAATCTATTTGGCTTTTTGCTGTTTCATTTTCTTCTTTTAATTTTAAGATATCAATATCCTTATCAACTGGAACTGATAATTTAAGTATATAATATAATTAAAGAAAAAAAAATAATTAATTGATTTATAATAAATTTTACCTATATGTTGTTTCATATCACCTCCAGCTGCCTATAATATAAATAATAATTTATTATTTATCTAGGATAAATTTTGATTAAATTAAAGTCGAAATCTTACATCATAATTATTCTTTATGTTTTCACGAGTTAGTTTTAACTCATTCGTTGCTTCCGTCCATTTAGCGGTAATCTGTTTATTTTCCTTTTCCCTAAAATACACAATCCATATAAATACGCGAAATATTAGAATAGCTAACTGTTTTCTTGTACTTACAAATTATTTTGTGCTTCTTTTAATTGTGCAGATTCCGTGGATATAAGATTTAATTTTTCTACTAAATTTTGAATATTTCTTTCAGTTTCTTTTTCTTTTGTTTTTATAGTATTTGTCAGCATTTCAATTTTTTGTTCCTGTTCCTTTAGTAATTTTTCAAGAGATTCTTTAGTGTCAACTAAATTTCTGTTTTCTTTAATTTTCTCATTTAATTTACTTTGCATAAGTTTAATTTCCTCATTTTGCGCTTGTTCATCCATTTTTAATTTCTTCGTTTGTGCATCTTCTATGGCCTCAATTTGGGCTATCAATTTATTGATTGTTATTTCTTTATTATTCAAATTATTAACTTGTTCCTCTACCGTGTTTTGAAGCGATTGTTGCTTCCTTTCTAATTCAGAATTTTTCTGCATTACAGATACAAGCTCAGATTGTTTAGCTTTGATTTCACATTCTAAAGTGCTTTGTAGTTTCATTACGGATTCTTCTTTGGAACTTTTCAATTCTTTCATCATATGTTCCATCTCTTGAAGCATATTCGTTTTTATATCTAATTCGTCTTGTACAGTTTTCAATTGTGATTCTAAAGTTTTCACATTTTCCTCTAATTTTGATTCTAAAACTTTTACATTATTTTCTAAAGAAATCTTTCTTTCTATAGCATTAGATATTTCTCTTTCTTTTTCTACTAGCGTCTCTTGTATTCTTTTTAATTCCATTTCTTTATCGGTTTGTTCCTTTTGTATAGATACAACAGTATCATTGAGTTTCACAATTTGTGAATCAGTTTGTTCAGCTTCCTTTCTCATTTGGATAAGTGCATCTTCTTTAAGTTTAATCATTTCAGTAGCAGCAATTAGTTTGTCTTCTAATTCTTTTAATTCATAGGACTTAGTATTTAATAATGTTGTGAGATTTTTATTAGTAGCTTCCTCACTAGCTACAGAAACCTCGATCGATTTTTGTAACTTTTCATGGATACTTTGTAGTTCAAGTAGATTAGAATCTTTTTCTGCTATTAGTGATTCTAACTTCGATCGATTTGTTACTTCGACTTCGAGTTTCTCTGTCAATTCTTCAATTGTCCAGCGATTACCGCTTTGATCTGCTTCTAATTTAGATTTTATTTTTTGTAAAGTCTTTATTTCTTCTTGAGAAGTAATTAATTGCGTTTTTAAGTCACTAATCTCTTTTTCAAGAAAAGATATTTGCTCTTTATTTGAATTTTGTAAAGCTTCACACTGTTTTTGTAAATTAAATATCTCTTCTTTGTAATTTTTTGATTCACTTAAAAGCTTTAATGATTCCTGAGACTTGTCTTTAAGTTCTTCTTTAATAGAGACATTTTCTTTTATTTGTTCTTCAAGTTCCATATTTTTTGTTTCAAATTCCTTTATTTTTAAAGATAATTCTGTATTTATTTTTTTTTCTTTTTCTAATTCAGATGTACTACTTTCTAATTCTGAACGTTGTTCATGAACTAGTGTATTAGCTTTGTTCAATTCCACTTCTGTATTATTCAATTTTGATTCTAATGATTTCAGCATAGATTCACTTTTGAATATTTTATCTTTAAATTCATCGAGTTCCTTTTCTTTCATTCGTAAATCCTCGTTATATTTCATAAGCTGCTCCGACGAATTAGCGGAACTACTTATTAGATTGGCAATATCCATTTCCTAAAAATGATTGAAATAATGAAATATTTTACACTCAATATTTGAATCTTTTTATTTATATCTCCAAGTAGAGTTGTTACTAACCAATTTTTCTTTTTGAGCAGTAACTTGCAACAATTTATTTTCTGTTCCAGCAACTTGTTGATTTAATTTTTCTGTGTTACTTTCAAACCCACGAAGATCATTCTCTAGATTTATTTTACTTTGCTCCACTAACGCAAGAGCATCTTGTAATTCTAAAATATAAACGTAATAATGTCGATTTAATGAAATAATTACTATAACTGAGTTTAATATTTATATATATAAAATATTACCTAAAGTCTTTTGTGTAAGATTTTTTATTTCTTCATCTTTATTTGCAAGAATTGATTTCAGTTCCAGTACATCATTTTCCAATTTATTAAGCAGTAAAGATTTCTGAGATATATAAGCATTTGCTTCTTCTATACATTTTGCTTTCTCTTCAATCTGGTCTTGATAACGTTTCGTTAATTCTTCTATTTCAGCTGCCGTTGATGTACGAAGTTCTGACAATTCTTTTTCTTTCACTTCCAACTCTTTACTTAATTTTCTCAATTGTGCAGAAGAATTAGTCTCAGTAGCCATTAACGAAGCAATGTCGTGCTCCTAAAGTAATAAAGCATTTAATATCAATAAATTTAGTATATATAAAATAAATAAAGGACTTACTAATTTTTCCTTCTCCTGAACTATTTTGAGACTGTCCTTAGCCTTTGTTTGATAATTTTGTATCTGCTCAGAAAGTAAGACATTCTTTTCTTCCATTAATTTGAGTTTTTCGTTTACTTCTGTAAATTAATAACAATTACCAATTGTTTAACTTAATACTTAGATGTTTAATATTTTAATATACCTTCGAGTTTCTTTAAAGCGACGGATAATTCTTCGTCTTTCTTTTTACTTATATCAATTTGTGTGGATAATTCAGCCATCAGTTTTTCAATTTCAGATGCCTTTTGTTGAAGTTGAACAGAAACTTCTTCAATCTTTGTATTTTTTACCTTTAGCTGTTCATCAAAAGACTCCGAAAGTTTATTAATTTGCTCTATATTTTCACTCTTGAGATTCTCAAAAGCAACATTTTGTATTTCTAACTGCTTTTTTGATTCTAACTCTACTTCTTCCATCTTTATTTTCAAAAGATTTTCTTTTTCTTCAACCATCTTTTCATACTTAGATATTAATAATTCTTTTTCAGTTGTACTTTCTTTTTGTGTATTTTCTATCATTTCTGCTGTCTTTTGTAACTGCTCTTTCAAAGCATTTGTACTGTTTTCAAATTCTTTTTTCATGTCCTCTATCAATATATTCTTCTCCTGTAAATCTTTCATTGCATGGTTTATTTCAGTTTGTAAACTAATTTCTGATTCTTTACGATTTTCCCTTTCTTGCTGATTTTCGTTTAGTTTTAATTCCAGTTCTTTTATTTGAGTTATATATTGTTCCATAAGCATTCCTTTCTCTTGTACCTCTTTTTCAAGATTATTTTTGCTTTCCTCCAAAATTTTATTTTGGCTCAATAAATCTAAATTAAATTGTTGTTGAAATAAATTATACAAAATAATATTTGATAAAATATTCTTTTTCTAACTACCTTCAAGTTGATGTTTTTCTTGAGTAGCAGCATTAGAGACTTCATTATGAAGACGTGCCAGTTCCTCTTCAGTTTCGAATAATTTTATGCTATCATGTTCGAGTTGCGCAACACGTTCTCTTTCCTCCATTAATTGCTTTTCGAGATCTTTGATCCTGTTTTCATACTCAGTATTTATTACCTAATGACAAATACATTTGTTGAGTATTTTAATAATTCAGTTTAAACATACATTAACTAACATGAAGTGCATTGAGATGTACATTGTTTACCGATTAAATTGATTTAGGCGAGTATACAATAAAATAAAAAGATATTATTTTTTGTGTTATCATTCAATAAGTGAAAAACATGTTATTTGAGTTTGCAAAATAACAATATACAACTGTGTGTAACATAAACGAATTAAATAGATATAAATTGAACACAGTATAACAGACAAAAACTTACAATAAATAAATACTAAATAGATAATAAATAAATAAATGAATTACATTGATTTGTAAATCTCTTATATGTAAACCTAATTACTTGTTATATATTAATGATAGATTTATATGTAAGCACAAATTTAGCGTGAAAAAAGCAGTACTCGAAACAGCAAATATATTTGCAGTGCACCGGAAAGCATGTTAATCCCGCACCTTTCTAACAAATTTCAGTAGCGTAACAATCAATCCTATTCATTGTATAGTACAAATTTAATATTATAATCTATAATATTTCCTTTCTTTTCTTTTATATTTTAATTAATTCACACGAGCACCAAATTTAATGTTAACAAAAAATTTAGAATTAATTAGTCGCAAAAGCATTGAGAAGATACTGCGACATCATTTAGTTTCTTTCATAAAATTGCGATGAAATGCTAAATGACATGACTACAGTGACGACAAGATAAGCGGTGCAGAAAAACAGCATCAACCCTTCCTTTGTCCCAAATGGCTGCCATCGGATACTCACACATTGCTCACTTCTCTCTTTCTGAAAATAAACGATAAGGTTTTTGCGTTAACCCACAGCCTAAATACAAACGCTGTCATATATCATATGAAATCTTTGATCATTTATCTTCGGTAAATTGTTTTTTTAAAGTATACTTGTAAGCATTGCTTATGAATGAATTTTTTTTAAATAATTTCAACATTTTACATATTTGAAGTCGGACTGTATCCAGCTTTACCCACCACCATTTATTATCTATAAGCTCCTAAAATTCTAAGAAAAGCACATTAATCTAATCCCTAATTTCAGTATCTCATGATACGTAATTCTGATAAGCAGTTGGTGTATATTGTATTTCAGAACAGAAACGAAAATTTGATAAAACAAAATGAAACAAGGAAAAATATAAAAACGATGTATACATTTTCTTTTTATTTCTCGTCTTTTGGTGGTAATCTTAAAAATGCTCTCTGCATTGTTCTTCCCATAAATACTTATACTTACCTTACAACGTATTTATTTTACGTCATATTAGTGTTTTACATATTTTTTCCTGTCTGAAATAGAAATTATACAATTAAGATGTATACCTGAATGTCGTCCTTGTTAACTGATTCTTCTTCAAAACGAAACAGGAGATCTTCGCACTTCCTCTTCTCCTCTTCCAGTTGCAAAGCAAGTGCATTTTTCTCTTCGAGTAATTTTGAGAAAGCAACCTCCGCTTCGGTAACTGTCTTCTGCATTTTCTCTCGATACTAAAATAAAAATTGCCATCTTAACATAATCATAATATCGAATGATCACATAAATACGTCCAATGCTACAACCTGCTCATATTCCTTTACTATCGAGATGAACGATTGTTCTGCCTGATCTGCTTGATTTGCGGCTTTCGTAATTCGCTCACGTTCTAAATCTCTTTCTCTTCGCAGAATCTCTATTTCCTGTTGCTTTTCCTTTAATGTTTCCTATAATTACGAAAACGAGTATAAGAAGAATAGCAAATATTGTCTCACTAGTTAATGAAAATGCTGTGTATTCTAGAAACTTTTCATTGTGGTATACGTTACACATTTATTACAGAAATTTATTATAGCGATGTACTATTTTTCTGCTACCATTATAACAAAAGCATATATATTTAATTACTGTCATCAAAATGTGCGTCTATGTACTTATGCAAGCTTATTCCATCAATATTGTATCTTTATCTTAGCAGATTTTTATTGCCATTCTTAAACTCTTACATTACTGGAGAACCGGTTTATAATAAACGTGAGAGAAGCATACAAACTAAGTTCGCTGGATAAAAATGCGAAACGTGTAGCGTTATAGTGATACAAAATTTGCAACTTAAATATACACAACAATTACTACATCGTCGGCGTTGTGTCATCAGCGATAAATACATTGACTATTTTACTCTCGGCATAAACCACAGAAGTATCGTAGACGAATATTCAGAATTATTTACTACACGTTTGCTTTGATGACATTTAATTAAATAAATGTGACTCGTGTTATAAATAGCAGCGAGATAAATTACAGAAATTGAACCTCACAATACTGGTAAAATAAAGTATCTTCGTCCAGTGAAACGAAAAATGATTTTACAGAGAAAAAAAAACCCATCCAGGTGGGAAACAAATTTTATGGGGATTAAGAGGAATGGACGGATGATTTTATTAACATCACATACAAGTATCAAAGTACTTTTCTAAACTACTTATCATCTACTGTATAGCTAGCAGTAACGCACTAACAAATAAATTTGTAACATCTACCCTGATTAAATGAATCAGTGTATGACGAGTCTCGATTGCCAGATTATGGTCGAAATTATGCAAATATGTAGTCACATCGCGTCTGCCAATTTACTTTCTGTAGCATAGAATATGCGATGAATACCAGCTATTACACTTTCAGTCAAGGAATGACAGTTAACCGAAATAAATGACAGATCATAATCTCACCTGCAGGGTAATTCGTGCAGGTGTCGACGTGCGCAAACCAGGCCTCTGGAATTTTGAATGCAACAAAAAACAAAAATGTATCATGCAACAGCCATACAGTTAAATCGCAAGACTCCTCTCTTTGTTTTACTTACTCCTTTCGAATAAATAAATATATATCTTTTCTTTTGATAAAAAACTATATAACAATTCTGTGAAAAAAAATACTGCACGATTGATTTTTAAGCGTTCAATCGAGTTAAATACATTGAAAGATAAGGAATACTGTATGTCTCTTTGTATCATGAATAAAACTCAACTTAAACTATATCTAACACTCGACAATGTTACTAACAAGAACAGCAACAACGATAACAACTGTAACACATATATAACTCTATATCAAACTAACAACGCCACTATGGGACTAACAAGCTAACAACTCGCAGTTTTATTCGCAAACGCGTTTCAAAGCAGCCTAACACAACACATAATGCTTTATTCATACAAATCAGAAAGAAACGCGTTCGTTGTACTACTCAGGACAATCAGAGGATCGTTCATTCTACGGGACCAGTACATATGATACTCCAAATCAGAGACAGCCACAAATTTGACAGCAAATTAAACACCCCACCTTCCATAATTTTTAGGACATAATTTCCATTCGCTACTCCCTTTCCTTTCCTTACAAAATGACGACGAAAATACAATTTTATTATACAAAGGCCCAAAATTTCAGGGATACACGGGTGTCCAGCATAAGAGTGGCGTGTGAAATTTTTGTGACGTTATATTCGTTCCATTCTGAATATACTATTCGAATCCTCTGATTGCTCAAATAAAGTGTGAAACAAAGTGGATGGTCAGGGATCTGCATTCTGGAGAGAAGATATAAGCTGCAGGCCATCCTCCTCACTCTGGCACCGTGAATCTTACCCTCGCGGCGCCAACACTAGCCCTGGTAGCTGTGCTCGTGGTGCTGATGATGCTCGATACCGAGACCAACGACTCTCTGGAACCGGTCTTCCTCAGGGACGTGTTCAGGGCGGCGCCGGATGGCTTGTGTACCATGCACGCTGTCCTTCTGCTGGACGGCGACCGGCTGATCTTGTGCACGGGTGCAAACAGGCCGTATCTAGGTCGGCACTCGAAGTACCTGAATAAATGCTAAACTAGTTAGCAAAGCGGAAGCAAAAAAACAGGAGCTAATTGATTTTTGTTCTTTCTTTTAACTTACTCAATCGGATCCGAATAACGTAAATATCTCTTTGTCCCTGGGACTCATTTCGTCCAATAATTAAACGATACTGCTGTCGGAATTTTTTTTTTTTTTAGAACGATACAATAAAAGAAAATACTCGCGATAAATCTCAAGGCTGTCATCGTTATCCGTTTACATTTGTTTAACGCGAGGTTATAAATACAGCTACCGGCATGATCGAGTCGCGATAATTAATTCGACGTTGCAGAATCGAGGGAGAAGCCTGATCGAATGAAATCAATGCTCCTCCCACGCTGCTTTCCCATAAAAACTGCGCCAAACATCTCAGCCACTCGAAATCTCCTATCTCGTGTTCTGCGATTAACAAAGCTTCGTGAAGATACTCGAGAATATTTTTCTACGATTACGTCTACGACTAATGATTGTAAAAAGTGGGATAAAAATTATAAGAGAAACGCGAAAGAATTGGAGAAAGGAAATTGATAGAACGGGTACAATTAAAAGTGCAAAGTTCGGTTCGTGTCTATCTAAGCTACGTGACGTTGGAGTGGGGGCGGCTACGCCAGCGGTGGTGGGGGTAGCGACCGCGAGCGGCCGAAATCTTTGGCCCAGACTATAAACTGCGAATATCGATGCAGACCTCTTGTCGCCGACGGAGCCGTCGTTCTTCCCAATCGGCTCGTCTAGTTCCACGCCGCACCATTCCCCGGATGCAAACTCTGTCGTGCCGATGTACCTGAGGACACCGGTTTTGCTGCCTTGGCTGGACGATACTATTACCCTGTCACCTATCCTGAGATCCCTCTGCGACATCGTGGACGACAGACTCGTCGTTGATGCGTCTGCGTGACGAGTTATAATAGGCTTTTTACAGTATGTGAAGTTTTCAAATTACAAGGAGCATGCAAAGGACATTGAACCGATGTTACGTAAAACAACTTCATTGGAAAATCCTTGCAGTACCGGTGATTGTAGTTAACCCTCAACTAACAGAGACCTCGAGGAGTGCAAGGTTTAGGTTCCTATAGTTGTGCTAATAGGAATTCCTGATGTCATACGTCTCTCTGTAGAATATTTTTAGTTGGTGGTACCGATCGGACGTTTATCATGGATTCCAGCAAATATTTGGGACCAGGTATCGATAATTTAAGGAACTTTTTGAAGAAATGACACTTCTAGGGAACTTTAACTTCAGTTGAGGGTTAATCTATGAATACACCTTCTACTTTCGCAACATTCACAATCTGATGATAAAAGAGTGAAGAAGCGGTAACCAATTTATTTATTAAACACACATAATTTCAGACGTGGAAGTTTAACTACATAAATAAAGAACATAGACAGAGTGAAACAGGCAATTACATATCGTTCCTTTTAGCGAAATTCCGAAGTGTCCAAGTACTGACGCTACTCAGCAGAATATTATACAGCGTGCTACATGTTAGACACAGCGACAAAACAGCCTACATAGTGCAACTGAAGCTACATAGCGTGCTATACTAAACGTTCCATTGAGAAAAGCACAATTTACAGAGAATTCTGCAGTGTTCACCTAAACGATCCTGAAATAATCAACGATAGTCGACAATTTCCACTTTAAACCTACAAAATTCTCGGATGGCAGGGCCATTTGTTTCCGTTTCTCTCTATTCTACGATTCTACCAAGAAGAAAACCCAAGAAGAAAAAAAGGAGAAAAGAAAAACTTCTTTCGCATTGCTCTCGTGCAGCTCCCGTTCCTAGCGTTTTCAAACAGAGTTCAAGCACACTACGGACGAGGGCAGTATCTCTTGCAGCGACCCTTACTCAGAGATGGAGACATGGACTTGCAGAGGCTTCCTCTTGCACTGTCAGGCGGCGTGGTCGGTGTCTTCTGCATCATCGAGATAGCAGCCTCGTCTGTCAACGGTGTTCTGGTCAACCTGGTCAATCGCGAGAAGATTCCTCTCTTCGGTTCGCATTGGAAATATCGGCATCCGGCCACGGATCCGTCGTTCTTGCCTGAAGTGTCCCGACAGTTGGTTAATTGTCAGAGGAATCGATCTCCGAGGATGACGACTAGGTCTTACCAATCGGTTCATCCAGGACCACTCCGGCCCAGTCTCCAGGGGCGAACTGGGTCTCCCCGATGTAGGCAATGGAGCCTGGTTTCGTTCCACCGACCCATACTCGATCTCCTATTATGAAGCTGTCCGTATCCTCGGTCAGGACCACGCTGTTATCTGTCCAGGGTGGAATTACAAGGGTATTTAATTGCACTGCTGGGTTCTTTGCTTCGTTCAACGGAGTTTCGATTTTGGTAGCTTTCTTTCGTTCTTTCTTAAGTTTCTATGAATTATTTTAGAAGGGAAAATCAATTCTTATGCTTCGAGCAATTTTACGGTGGTGTCATGAAGAGTTCTTGGAGTGGAATATTTATTCTCAGTTGTCTGCTGGCTCGAATATCGAGTGATTCAGGCAACCTCGGACAACTCCAGGCAATCATGCAACAAAAGCTGCGACTACACGGGACCATTTGGCTTTCGCGGGACGATTCACAGAAAGGACGATGCAAATCTAATTTTCATGGAGCGATGCGAAGGTAATCGCCCATTTAGAGGAAGCTTATTCATGTCTAAAAGAATCTGAGGCCATGGGTGTGTTGACTGAAGTACTTTGGGAACTCGCGTTTACTGGATGATCGCCAAGATAACAGCAATGCTACGCAGCGAATGCAATAGCGCAGGAATTAAAAGAATACTATGTTGACATTCCTTATGTTATTTCTCTTTTATCGCGATCTTTATTTTTTTTGTAGTACCCATAGGGGTTAAATCTTGTGGCATTTATTTTTATTAGGAACTTCGTTAAATAATATATTTTTCTCTACAATAAAGATTTGCCATATTTAACTGGTCCAAGTTATATTCGGAATACATAAAGAATGAATTTAATAAGTATTTATTAAATATTTAATTATAAATTTAATAAATATTGTATACCAGCGTTACAAAATTGGGCGATTATTTTTGCATCTCTCTCCACGACAAAAATACGTATAAAAATAAATAAAAATAAAAAGAAAGGACGAACTGAACAAAGCACCTACCTGATCCTCTGCGCAGGCCAGCCTCGCTTAATCGACGGCCATGCGTTTCCCAGAGATGATCCATCTGGTCTGTTGGTCATGCAAAACAACGCAAAACAATGCAAATCATACAAAACAAAGAGCATGCTTTCACGGGACAAATAAGCTTACCGGTGTATCAACCCTGCTGGGAAATTGAACGTCATGACTTATGATTAAGGTATATGATTAAAAATATCGAATGGGAAATATCAAGTGGATACATTTACAGTGAACGTCACGTGGCGGGAGATTAAGATTCGTATCACGTAATCATGCGTTACGCATGATAAAACAAATCGTAATACGTTTTTTAATTGCAACTGACCGATATGTAACAGAGGAAGTTCATTTCCTACGGGTGAAGTTATTAAGCAGAGAGTTATGTAAAAGAGGGATCAACGAGAGGAGTGTTCGACTTTGGATCGATGATGCTGTGTACATTTTTGATTTATGCACTCGATCATTGATAAACAAATGCAATGAAAGTATTGTTAACATTCGAACTACCGACCTGTAATAAATTAATGATAAATGTATTAAACATGGATAATAATTGATACAACATGACGAAGATGGATAAGATACATATAATCATGTCTGAGCAAAGGTCAAACAAAAATATTTAACAAAAATGCATATTTTCAGTGACAGTAAAAATAAAATATCTAAAATTAGTCATTTTGTTTTATATGCTAGTTTCAGTATTAAAAATCTCGTTATCTCGATTTTGTTCTAACAGTGGAGCATATATAAAATATAAAAATATATAAGATATTATTAAAAAATACTATAAAATATTCCTTCATTTTTATTGCAATTTTACTGCAATTTTCTGTGCAATTTTATTCTCAATTTCAACTCGATTTACTTGACTCATAAACTGTATTTATCTTTTCCCGCAATATCGCAAGTGTCCTGAGGGTAATTCAATTATAACGTAGGTCGAGCGTATTATCTCGTAGTTCGCGATCTTCACTGGCAAAATATCCGAGAAAAATGTCGCGATTCGCGACTTAATTAACTATTCATGAGCGATCGGTGGGCGAGCCGATGGTAGTAGGTCGATCGCGTGGGCTAAAGTCTCTGTTCGAGGAGATCGATTCGCGATTAGAGTGAAGCGATCGAACGTGAGATATCTTGCACATAGGATATGCTCAGAGATAATTCTTCATACAAGGTGTTTCACAGATAATACTCGAGTGAAAATCATATCAGTGAAAATAGCAGTAGCACTTACTTCGCGAGTACTTGTGTTTTTACATGGCGATAACAAATAAATAAATATGGTGAGTAACTGAGAAAATAAATCAACCATACAACGACAACAAAAGGACTTGAACATTTTCAAATAGTTCTCAATGAGAAAGAAATCTTAATTTCTACCGAATCTGATTTGTCAGAAACAGGTGAGAATAGGAAAAGTGACCATGTGTTCAATAGCAACTGACAAGAAACTCTATAGAAATATTATATTGGAAGAGAATTAAAATTATTCTGAATTAATTTCGATTTCAAAGATTTACCAGTTCTTCTATCTCCAAATCTATCTCCAATTGCAACGCAGTTCTACTTTTCAAATACTATATAAAGATCGATGCATCATCATCTAACGCTTCCAATCGTCACACGTGAGTCATTGAGAAAAAAGTTACACAGAAGAAACGATGCAGGCCCAACGACCAATTAAGTTCAGGTGAATCCTACGTATAATGACCGGCTATACAAAGCAGCAGTCTTCGTTTAATCTACTTTTAGAGACAAATGTACTAAATAGTAGGAGCCTACTAAAATAAACGTCGTTCAGTGTCAAGCACCTTGACCGCCTGACACGTGGTATGCTTGTAATTAGATCCATACAAGTAGTCATACAATCCAAGATACCTTCGTTCCGCACGAATGTGGACGATCCATATGTAAACAAGGTTAATGGTAGTAGCGATTCGATACTACTACGGTCGTCAGGTAGTAATTTGTTCCTGGAATCTAATCTAATGGACATCACCAGTAACGTGATCCCTGTAGTCTCCATTCCAGAATCGATTTTCAATCACGTTCAACGTGTCACTAGTTGACAAATCTAATTTTTGTTACTTCGTTCACAAATTAAAATCATTAGAGATCCTGAACTTCGGCTTAAAAGAGTCATCTTCTGAGAATTGATCTTCTTAGAAATTTGAATTTTAATGTTGCCTGAGGTTTTATTATTAATGAGATTATATTCGAATTATATTCTCGATGCAATCATCGAATGATGTTTGTCTATTAAAGGAGATAACGAATGCGATTCACCACGCACTATATTAGTGGCGTCAGGAAGCTGCTAGATGAAATTCGTGAAATAATCTCAAAACCGGTTGCTGGTGTAAACATCAAGGCAGTCTAAAACAAGTAATATCCTCAGTTTCGTCGTTCATATTTGGTCGATGGTATCACAAGGTGTTATTGTACACCACAAAACCGATTACGTCAGAACGAAAGATCGTCACCTGAAACTAGCATGATCTACGAAGGAATACTAATAGGATACAAAAAAGGAAAGAAAAAAAGTGTAAACATTTGTATAATATGTTTAGAACTTTGAAGTCGTGTGACCGACAATTACTTGACTAAAGAGTTTCATGAATGTTGATTATCGTACACCATAAATAGAAAGAGGTATATCAGACAGAGGCACTGATCTGAATGATCCTCATCGAAGATAGTTAACAGCAATGAGAATTTAATTCTTAATACAATTATAGATGATTCTGAATAAGAGATTGGAAGATCGACTGTTAACCTTTGCCCTGCCAATATCTCTAATAAACTGAAGTACTAAAGAGATTAGAAGATAGAGTGTAACCTCAGGTAGTACCCCAAGGAAACTTCTATTTTCCTTATACTCAGGTCAACAAGACTACTGTCGTGTGAGTCGTGTGAACGTTCTCTGAATGTTCAATAAATAGAAATCAGTCACAATGTATGCCTCACTTATAGTTTACTGCAAGTACTCTAATTCACCTTGCGCTACCCAATCACAGAGGACATCCCAACAGAAATTCAAAGTACACTAAAGTCGACTCAATGTTTCTTCCCTTCCATTTTGATTAACGAAGGATCTTTTTAATGACTAATATCAGATATCGGGAAACTGTATCCACGTACATATTTCCACGTCAATTCGAAAATTGACATCGTTACCTTGAGCTTTCCTATCGCGTTGCGAAACCCGAGCTCGGCCGGCGATACACACACGACCGATCATGGGTGCAAGGTGGACGTCGTGAAAATCCCTGCCCGAAATGGAAAGCGTGGCAAGCACGTGGGAGGAAAGACGAAACGCACGACTGGAAATTGAGCGTACAATAAACACACACGGATTGCATAACACGACGTGCGTCATACGACGATGACTGCACCGACTGCACGCGCCGCGGTGCCTTCCTAACTGCGGTACAACCGAGCCACTGGCTGAACCAATAAGGTAAGATAGCTGCCCTCGATGTGAGACCAGGCGCTTTTGTACGCGGCTAGCGTCTCTTTCCGCTCCGCGCGCCGTGAATAATCGAACAGACTATCTGGATCTTGCGGCTCACGCGGTTATTCTAGAAAAAGATCAAGGTTTAGTCTTTGGTGAATGAATGCTCTTGTAAGAGAGATTTTAATGGAAAAGGGATTTGTACTTACTTAATGGAGCATTATAAAAGCCTACAGAGGGCCATAAAGACGGTGATGATATTTGAATTACATTGGTAATGGAAACAGAGGGAAAATAAGAGTCTTGAAAAAATCACTTAGTAATGCAGAATTTGGAAAGTCTACAGCTTTTACAAGCATTCATTTATGTGATGTAATACTGAAAAGTTAACAAACAAGTATAATATTTAATTGCCTAATTGAACATTCATGCTGAAGACACCTGATGATTTAGAATTGGATAAATTCAAAATGAAAATTTAAAATATTTAATTCATTGATTCAAATCTTTGAAATAACCAAAATAAAATAATAATACCTTTCAAAAAGGAAACAGGAAGCGTTTGGAATGAGGAATGAAGAACACACAACCCTGATAAACCAAGAATTCACCAACACACTAAGGGAAACATCTATCAAATATCCATCAAACCCTACCAAATTACTTGAAAGAAATAAAAAGATAATATTATTTAACGATTCATAATTTAGTTAGTAACATGAAAAACAAGTGGAATTCACTTTACCGTTCTGATCTCTTTGATGAAACAAAGCAATCGCGATACTCGATAACGATCATAGCGTTCGCTAATGAGAAGTATATTTACCAGATCGCTCAGAGATGTGTTGCGCTGAGAGGTGGAAGAACAACTCACGAGAAGTTCGCGAGCTCGAGCTTGTAAAAGCAATCGTTCACGCTCGTCTCAGGGTCTTGTGGGCGTATTCGTTTACGTGGCGTGGGGAATTAACGGAGCCCCGTTGAGCTTCTATTGCTTTACCCCTTTATTTGTATCGTTTCCTTGATCAATATACGCATGTGCTGGATACGAACCATGCTCGATGATTTGTTAATTCGTTTAATTAAATTCTATAGTCATTGTCAAGACTGCCTATGAATATGTCTGTAAATTCTTCCTCTTCTGTTTAATAAAAACATTGTGAGAATCGAATACAAGATTTTGTTTCAATGACGTTTGTTTTAATAACACAATAAAGCATACAGTATAATGAGATAAATTTAAGAGATATATCTGTACGATTAGATGCTATCTCCATATGATAACATTATCGAAGAAATTTCTTTAATCCCAGGATTATATATGATTAAAGTACGGTACTTTCTAAAATACTTAAAAATTATTATTAAATTAAATGTTATACATGTGGGAAATAAAGTACATTAAACGCTTAAGCTAAATATATGATGGATGAAGTCATATAGTTTCTTCAAAACATGCAAATACACTGTAATGTAATAGACAAGCTTGTTAAAGACTCACTCATTGATGGTCTTGGAGGTGACGGTGGAACTGCTGGTCTTGGTGGTAAATTGCTACATGGTCGACCAATTTTTGATGGTGGTCTTATTCCTGATGGTTTTGGATCAGTCATCTTCTAAGTATGCACTCACTGTTATGTAACACTGAAACATGAATATTATGGGTTAGCAAATTAAAGAGCAAGTTTAACATATGTAAGAAAATAAAAATTAAAAAATTAAAAAATATTGTTAAATATTAGAATTTTGTTAAAATAATCGTATAATAATAATAAATTAACTATAACACACGAAATATCGACGACAAAAAATATTTTACACGAAATATGATTTGACATATATATATATGTGTGTGTGTGTGTGTGTGCGTGCGCGTGTGTGTGTGGGTAGCAAAATGATTTCAATTTTAACATTAAAATATTTTTAAACGATTTTAATTAACGATTAGGTCTCGTGTTTATTATTTGTATTTCGTTTCATAATATTCTTTATATAAAAATAAGTACGTTTGTATTGTATTCAAAATTCAAAAATCATAATCGAGAAGTCGTTACAATACGTTGAATCGAAATCGAAACTTGAATTGCACACGTACTTACGCAAAATACGCAATAATTATAATAACTGTTTGACATTAGTTAATGAATATAAAAATAAGATCTATTATTTTCACATATAAAAATAAAAATATGTTAATATATGAATTTCATTTGAAAACGGATATTAAAATGTTAAAAAAATGTCAAACGGAAAGTTAACCTCTTTCAAATCAACATTAGTCATTTAAAAAATAAAGTATGCAGGTATTGTACCTTATTTAAATACGACGTAATACTTTCACGTACAGTCAATTAACATATTTTACAAGTAACAATTAAAACATCACTATATTCATGAACTAGCACAGCGAAATATTCGCACAAATTCAGACGGCGGTTAACGGAAAAGTGACAATTACTGGCGCCAGAAGCGCTGTCACGGTCTATTTCTGAATTAAGTTATAATTCTCTGCCAATTTTTTCCTCTTACTTTAATATAATTATTTTATCGATAAATCTTTTTTACACATTATTTTTTATATCATTATTGTAAATTTGATGATCTTTTTAATTAAATTATTTTACCTTACCGTTGATTGTTCTTCTTATTTACTACTTTTTTCTCTTTGAAGTCAACAGTTCTTTCAACAATTTCACTATTTATATTACTATTGCTGTTTGTGTCCTTCAAATCAATGGATAAAATAAATTCAATAATTTTTTTTTCTACGTTGAAGTACTCGTTTGAAGTTTTCGATATTATTTTTTTTTGTAAAATTTATTGTAATAAAATATTTAATATGTAAATAAATTCTTTCTATTTTATTTAAACTCAAGATTTGATTGGTCATTGAAATATCATATTTCGCGGATTCGTAGAAATCGTTTCGAAATAAATTCATGAACAATATTTTATCCTAAAGTCGAGTTAATGACAATAATAAAAATTAAATCGAATATTGTAGTGAGATGTGCAGAGTAAATTTAATATTAGTTGATAATCATATAAGATTCACAAGTCAGAATGTTTTTATACGATATAAATGACATCTCAGTAAAAAACAACAATTTAATGTTAAAAAGGTTTAATTTATCTTGTTACGCAATTTTGAAATTATTTTATTATTAAAATTTAATTTGTATTGTATAAGATAGCGTTTGACGTATCAATAAAGTAGTTCTATTGGTACAAATAATTTGAGGTTAAATTAGACACAAAAAATGACAGTTGATCTGTCAACAGTGCCACTTGTTGCTTTGTCCATCGAATCTAAACAAGTTATTTCATCATTATTAAATCCTCCAAAAGTAATACCTTCTGAAAATGGATTACCAAGGTAAAGAATATTTTTCTAATGTAATAAACTTGTTTTGGAGTTTCACTTTCATTATGTGACACTTAACAGTATACGTAACAACTTTTATAAACTCTTTAATGTTTAGAGACTGGAGAGGTCTTGCACATTTATGTAAATTAGGAGGAGAAATAATGCCACTACTAATTTCACATCCAGATCCAGCTACATATATTTTAACAGCTTGGGAACAGAAAGAAAAGAGTACTACGCTTAAAGATTTTCAAACTTTGTTGGAAGAAATTGACAGATGGGATATTTTAGATGATACATTGGAACTTTTTGGTTTGTAATAACTATATATAATATGTAATTAATTACATATTTTGCTTAGGGATATTTCTTTATTTTATCATGTATTTATATTACAGAAAGAGATGGTGAAAGATACTTAGAACAATTACAAAAATCTCAAATATCGGCTGAAGTGATTACAAATAATATTGATACAAAAGTTCTTACTGTAGGCAAGTAATATATGAAGCTATATATTATAAGTATCATATTAACAAATAAAGTAATTAAAAGTTATTAGATATATTACATTTTAACAGATGATCTTCATAGACTAAGGCAAGGATTAGAAAATCAATATTATGATGCCTTTTTATTGTATGCTGATGAAGATGTCAATTTTGCCAATGAAATGGTGGACAAATTGGAAAATGAATATAACTTGAAGGTAAAGTATTAAATATAGTGCTATCTATGAAAAACTTACAAACCATAAATCAAATATCTTTCTTAGCTTTGTTTAAAAGACCGTGATTTAATCGGTGGAGTTACATTTGAACATGAAGCTGTAATGACTCTGATATCAGAACGATGTGACCGACTAATTGTTATAGTATCACCAAATTTTCTTAAAAGTTCAGCAAATAAATTCTTTTTGAATTATGCCCAAGCATTGGGCATTGGTAAGTTTTAATATTAGGTCATTATACATACTAAATTTATTTAATTTCAATCTCATATTCTATTTCTTTTGATCAGATAAGCGACAAAGGAAAGTTATACCATGTTTGTATGAAAAATGTCAATTACCACCACAATTGGAATATATGGTTATATTGGATTATAATAGGGTAGGTTTGTATAACTTTTGGAAAAAATTAAGAGACTCTGTAGAAACAACGAATAAAATAAATGAAAGTGCTAACATTTCTCCTGTGAAAGAGAATCATCATAATACTTCTGATACATACAATAAAAGTGAAAAAGATAAAGAAAATACAAAAGATGTGGAATCTTTAGAAATACAAAAGCTTCAGCTACAAGATAGCAAAGAAGCATTTAATATGAAGGAAAATTTAAATCATTCTGAATTTGACAGTATACATCATTCTAAAGATAATCACAAAAAGCATAATTTTCTACAATGGACTAAAAGGAAATTGTCTAAGAAAGGAGAGGATAATAAAAAGGAATATACACCAATTACGGGGACTGTCAGTTTACCATCTATTGAAAACCTAGATTCATTGAGTACATCAACAGATTTAATGGAAAAGAAGCCTAAAACAAAATTTATAAATAAATATGTAAAAAAGGTGCAATTAAAGAAAATACTTGTTAAATCATAAAAATGTATGATTTGTTAATTTTGTTGTTCAGTATTTGAAAAATAATATACAATTGTATTATATTTTAATAAAAAAGTATATATATGTAAGATTCTCGATAAAATATCTTTTCATTTGTTTCATTCATCACTGTTCCACTTGTTGCATGTCCACGTGTTGAAAGTAACTCTCTTCTGCAGATGGAGCTTTGTATGCAACGTAAAAGTTACTCACAGAAAAATACATATATAATATTGTGTTATTAAAGTTTTTTTGTTAGGAAATATCGATGAAGTGAAGAAAAACAACTGAATTTATTTATTTTAATAATTATCTAAGTACAAATATTAAATACTTCAAGTAATTAATTTCCCGCCAAAATCTTTACATCCTGGTGCCATTGATTGATTTTGACTTTTAGTTCTGCCTTTTTTTTGGTTTTTATAACTTATCTTTCATTTTAAATAAAGTGTAAATTGTTAAAGACAATATTAAGTATTCAAAACATAAGTGCTTTATAATTTAAATACAAGATAACAAAAATGGTGCGTCGGAAAGCTGAAGCAAGGTTAGTTTAAATATGTGTGTGGCATATGTTTTAAACTTTATACAAGTAAATATATGAAATAATATTTTCACTGAAATTTAAATATTTTAAATTTTGGTAGATTTAAGTCTCGAAAAAGTGTCGTAAGAAAATCTTTCTTCTTTTTTCATTTAAATTATCATTACCAAATGTGTGCATTTCAAAAGTAGATATATATATACATATTCACATTATATACAACATATTTGTGTATATATATAAACTAAACAATATTAGAGTTCATACTAGCAATATTATTACGTGAAATAATAACATTAATACTATCTTAAATATATTAAAAATATAATTTTATTACTTTAGGTCATATGATAGAATAACATATAAGGAGCATTCTATGGTAAGTACATTTTCAGAACTTAAGCTTTGATGACTGTTACTATATAAATTATTACTTTATAAAATATCTAACAATATTATTTAACTATTTGTGTTAATAAATTAGTTACTGCATGTAGAATATTGTTTCTACTTATTATAAAATCTGTTTAGACTCATGGTTTAATAAACAAACCCCCTCGCAAGTCACATGTTTTGAGAGAAATTAGATATTTGAGGAAATCTGTGATGCTACTGATACCAAGAACCTCATTTTCTCGTTTAGTGAAAGAAATTATTATAAACTTATTTCCCAATTCTTTTGTAAATAGGTAAAACTTTAAATATTTATACTTTAAAAATAAATTTAGTATTCTTCAAATATACTACGAATTTTATAATTTATATTTAGAATACAATCAATTGCACTTGAAGCACTACAAGAAGCAACTGAAGCATATATGGTTCAATTTTTTGAAGATTGTGTATTATTGTCATTACATGCAAAACGTGTAACTCTTCGAATTCATGACATGATTTTGACGCGACGACTCAGAGGAAGAGGAGATATTATAAATAAATAAAATAATTTTATTCTTAAGTTTAACAAACTTATAGCAGAATTATAATTTATTAGACACTATGTGTTATTAAAAATTTGTTGATATTGTATTATAATTAATGAAGGACAATGTATTTTACTGTATAGAAAACTGCTCCAATTTTATGATTTTATATTTATGATTATATATTTTAACATTAATTAGTAAAAAATTAGGAAAAATATGATTAATATTTTAGAAGTTGATTAACACGTTGACTGCGGCGCCGATTTTGCTATACTTTCTAGAAGATTACTTTGTTTCACTTTGTCGTTTGAACTGTGAGAATGGTACAGCCAATGCACAAATATACAAATTATAAACAGAAGATAATGGGGTGGGGAATGCCAGAAAGGCAAAAAGAAACGATCAGTCGAAAAAAGCCACGGAAGTGTAAAGATTTACTTTAGCAGAGGGAATTAAATTTTTACAATATATTAATTGTCATTGATAATTTAACCCTTGACAATGCCAGTCTTACGCATCGATGATGATCAAACGAAAAATTCGCTGTCAGTCCACCGTCCAAACGAAAAGTCTACTGTCAGTCCCTAGGGACTGACGCCGCCTGAACGGAAAGTTCACTGTCAGTCCCTAGGGACTGACGTAGCACTCAACGTGTTAATTGTTACAAATAATAATGAAATATAATTAATAAGTTTATTTTAGTTTTGTTATATAATAAATATTTAATGTAAAGTTTATGTTCTAAGAACATTGGAGTATTACATTGACAACAAATTAAACTTGTAATGGTTTGTTCAATAAAATTTATTTTATGGGAAACAAACTTTTGATAAAACTCTTATGTTTACTTTACGAAACTTTGGTAAAATATACATTTCTTGATTCTTAAGCAGAATCTTAGAATAGTACATATTGAAGCTTCGTAAGGTTTACTTCGTACGGATTTTTTCCAACTTTCTATGCAAAATAACATCAGTTAAGAGTGATACAATAAAAACGCTCATTAAACAATAAAATATAGCGTAACCAGTCGTTACGTTAAATTTCCTGCTGTTACTTCGTACGTGTTAGCTGCCATCACTTGTGATATGTATCGCAAGTGGAACATTATATCATATCCTAAAAAAAACCGACTAAAAAATAGTATTACAAATAACAATGCTATCTATCTACGCGTTTATAATATATATATATAATATATAATATATATATATATATCTATAATACAATTTGATAAGGAAATATAAAAG